TCCCCCTCTCTTCAGTGCTTGCCGTCCACCTGCTGTCACCAATTAGGACTAATGAGGGGTTACCCTTCCAGCACACATTTACAGTATTTATGCGATGATAGAGTTGTTGTGCTAGTTAAAATAAAAAAAGTAATGACCATGCCCCCTTCTCCGGTGTTTCATTAAGCGACCCCCCCCCCCCCCGAAATTAGTGGCTGGATCTGCCCCTGCCCGTGTGGTTGTATGTCAGTTATACATGTGCTAAAGAAAAAGTCGAAGGACTTCATTCTTTCCTGTTGAGGTCACCTCCTACTCGTGTATGTCACATAGTTTAATGATTGTCACCTTTCTTTATGATAAAAATGGAGCTTAAAAGGACAAAGGATGTTCATATTCGTTTGTGCAACAACGCACAATTTTGTCATTCTTGGATTATCGCAGGAATTGACGGCCACTCTCGAAAATCTGAAGCGGCTCTCATTCAGGAGGCGTCTTTGTTTGTCATGTCTCCCAACACTCAAAGGAGGTGGCGCGCTGTGCATATACATAGCTGACTCGTCCTTGGCCACATATACAACTGCAGTGCCAACACAGAGGAGAAAAAAAAAAGCGAACTCTACAGATAAACCGTAGAGGTCGCGCAGGTCAAGTGCGTCTTTCACTCTCGCTACTAGTTATCGTAGCCCGAAGTAGAAGTTGTCGTTGATTTGAGCTACTGCATCTGGAGACATTCTGTACACTCTTGTTCAAGGGATAATGATATTCTTGGACCCAACATGTCTTTCTGCTCACTCTGTCATTTGTTTTCAGATTTTTTCTTATCCCACAATTTGACATGTTATTTACTTGGACGAGCATTGAGCTTAATGTCACAACACTTGGTTATGCCGTGCCAAATATCTGTCAATATATGTCGAAAAATCTTGTAAACAGAAGGTGTGTGCTGGAGCCCGCAGCACACATCCTCTGGTTACAAATTTCTCATTCCAAGCATTCATTTTCCCCTTGCTGCCTTTTTAATGTACGTCAAAGTGGCTTCTAGCTTTTATGGAGGCGTACACTTGTGGTGATGTGTCCACCCAGCTGGACTGGGGTTCGTTTTGCATGCTCTTTTCACCAGGCTGTTGAGGTCTGTGCACATGATTGGTACGTATGCGCTGAAGTTACTAACATGCTTTTATCTGGTGCTGTACATGCACATAATGTTTCATACATGAAGGTTGTCATAATGCAAATTTCGTGTGAGAACAAGCAGCAAGAACAACAGGAGAGGGGACAAACAAAGCATTATTTGTCATTGTGTCATTCGCAATACAAATTCCTTCTTACATAGCCGCTCGCGGTATACATAGCCGCAATCCACATTCTGCATTCTTATCACTTACGGGAAGTGTACTTGGGCTTGTAAACCATTTTGGTTCAATTGATTTTCACATTCTGATAGCAGAGACATTAAGCTATAGATCCATGATTGCACTAGTGTGTTTTATATACAAATGTTTTTTTTTTTTATAATAAACCTTTTTAATTTAAAGTGCTGTGACAGTAGCGCACGAATTCGATGTCAAAGATGAGTTACCTCGTTGAAGATGTATTAACCTTGAAAAAATGAACAAAAACCTAAATTGACTTTTTATAATCTTGAGGGTGTCTGTTTTTATGGAAGTAATGCGGGAGTATTGCACTCCTTCCCCCCTCTTTTTCTTTAAGGATCAAGGTTTTTGCATGAAATTTGAGATTTAAATCGTGGAATTTCAATGGCAATATTGAAACGAAGCGCACCAGTTTCGAAGATTGGGCAAGGAAGGCCACTCGTTCCTGTGCAAATTCCTAAAAGCAATTTTCACTATGCGCAAAGAAAGTGAACCAGCTCTCATTCTGATTTGCTGACTGCAAGAATGCATAACAAAAAAATTGGAGCTCTATTGATTGTTGCATAAACCATATTCCTCTGAGACAGGTGTGTACGTATTGTGGCACAGACAGTGCACACAGTTTGTCTCGATTAGGTGCACAGAACATGAACATTTTTGTTTGATTTTCTGCTTGTAAATAGCGCTGGCTGTGCCTCGTCAACGTCAAGTGCCTATGGCAATACTGTATAGCTTCACACAACAACAGTTAGACAAGGAGAGCAGAAAGGTGGGTCTTAAAATTAATCTGCAGAAAACGAAAGTAATGAACAACAACCTCGGAAGAGAGCATCGCTTCGAGATAGGTAATAGTGCACTTGAATTTGTAAAAGACTATGTCTGCTTAGGACAGGTAATAACCGGGAATCGAACCATGAGACTGAAGTAACTAGAAGAATAAGACTAGGGTGGAGCACATTTGGCAAGCACTCTCAAATCATGACAGGTAAATTGCCACTATCCCTCAAGAGGAAGCTATATAACAGCTGCATCTTGCCAGTACTTATCTACGGAGCAGAAACCTGAAGACTTATAAAAAGGGTTCAGCTTAAATTGAGGATGATGCAGAGAGCAGTGGAAAGGAAAATGGTAGGTGTAACCATAAGAGACAACTAGAGAACAGAGTGGATTAGGGAACAAACCGGGGTCAAGGATATCAGAGTTGAAATCAAGAAGAGGAAATAGACATGGGCCGGGCATGTAGCACGTAGACAGGATAACCGCTGGTCATTAAGGGTAACTAACTGGATTCCTAGAGAAGGCAAGTGGGTTAAGGGGAGACAAAATTAGGTGGGCAGATGAGATTAAGAAGTTTGCGGGTATAAATTGGCAATAGCAAGTACAGGATCGAGTTGACTGGAATAACATGGGAGAGGCCTTTGTCCTGAAGTGGACATAGTTAGGCTGATGGTGATGATGATGATAATAATATACTTAAAACAGTACTATTAACATCTACCTTGCCTGGCTTCGTTATTTGTTGGTCTTGATTAAGGTTGTGTCAAAACAAAGATACAAGCTCTCAACGAAAATTCTGTCTTAGCACACAGAGAGTCGTTCTTCTCTTTGGTGTCCTCTTTGATTGTTTTGGAAGGGTTGGCAGTCTTGCATCACTGTAATGTAAAAAAGTGATTGTCGAGTGCACTGGTTATTTGTGCTATATTGTTACACTGCATGCATATAAATATATGCCCACTCATTGTGCTATGATGTTCAAAGAGCTACAACATGATTAATCAGCAGAGGCACCATCCAGATGACTGAAGTTTCACTGCGGTTGGCTCTGTGACAAAATAAATATTTCTGCTCTTGAGCTGCATGTAGGAGTTGTGGGCCATCTGCCTTACGATGCACAGTCTAGAGTGTGCTACCATTGGTTTAGACTCAGTAGTCATTCACCTTTGAGGAGGAAACGGCACTGCCTTCTAACGGTACCCGAGGATAAATTCTGCTGTTTTACCTCAAGTCACTTGTGAAAACTTATACGGCCTGTATGCGCTTCTGTTTTTCTTCATAGGTTATTTATACCGGTGTTACACGGGAAATTGAAGTCGCAATTAGGGCCGATCTGCATGTTAGATCGCAGTTTGACTGACGTCTGTACCTAACTCGACTTGGCTTAGTTTGGCACTGTATAGCAGCTACAATTCATTGAATGTGATCAATAAGTTTGATCTGTATTCACCCTAATCCCTAAACTCGATCTGGATTAGTTTGGACTCTACAGCAGTTACAATTCTTGATCATGATTCAAGAAATTCAATCTGCATTGGCCCTAATCTCCAATCAGGAGTAGAAGTACCCGTGTGACAAATGTATTATGTAAGTATCAATCTTGTTGTAGTGTTGCAGTGAAAGCTGTGCTTTTGAGACTGTGGTGGCAGCACCTTCCGTGCTTAGCAGCATGTTTAAGGCAAGACAATTGTGCACCCTGTGGTCATGAGTGTTGTGCCACTGTTACATTTTTTTCCTGGGCACATAGGACACTCGCTGATAATGTATGCATTGCATCAGCATACGTGATGTTGTGGCAAGACTGACACTCTAGGGAGCTGTGCGCTCTGGTTTTGTTCTGGTTCACTGCATTATTCAGGAAGCATACAAGACAACGAATAATGATGAGGCCGCTAAGAGAGCTTGAGCTGTATTGCGTTTATGCCACACTGCTTTAGTCACGGTTCTTCGCATGAGCTATTTGGGCCAGCCTGTGCTTTTTATATCGATCGACAGCTGTGGGGACAGGTGAAGTAGAATATCGAAAACATGTTTGTGTAGGAAGTAGGCATAACCTGTATTGCAGTGCATGCAATCGGGCAACTGAAAAATGAAAAGGTAAACAACTAACAAATGAATGAGCTAAATATTGCTATGTAGCTGACATATCAGCGATCAGACATTCTGCACACAGAAGACGATGAAGAAGAGGGCTGGTCTGTCTGCTGTGCATGTTGTCTTCCATCTTGGTGGATGCTATACGCATCAATGTAAATATGGCCTGTAAATAGCCACGCCTCGTGTCATTTTTACTTAACATTTTTGTGGTGGACGTGCGGGGACTTAATATGTCAAGAGCTTAGTGCATTCTTGATGCAGCTATTGCTGCAGTTAATGCAGAATAGATGCAGTGCAGAAAAAAAAAATGGACATGGCACATTTTGTTCTTGCTTTGGAAGTTCTAATTTTGTTTGCCCAATGGTGCTGTGTAAAAGGGGTATACTTCATGTTTTTTCTGTGACTTTCTTTTTGGAGTGGTGCACTGTCCTGTTTTTTTTTTTTTTACTCTTATCCTTAGTGCTATTTATTGTTCATGTTATCACATCAACTTGCCCAGCTATCCCTATCTTTCTTATGAGACAAGTGCATGTTTGCATCCATAACTGAAGTGACTGCTGTCTATTGACCATTTAGCCATCAAGTTTTAAGATATTTAATATCAGCTTTGTTTCATATTCTATTCTAACAGTGGCACTTCAAAAGTATTTTATTGCTTATGAGTGTCCTCCATGTACAGCTAACGCTTACTACTCTGCCTCCAGTCAAGATTATAAGAATTCCACATCTTGTGGAAGCTGTGTCTTTGCATTCTGATCGTTTTGTACATGCATGCAGGTCAAGGCTTCTGACACGTTGGCTGGCATTGCTGCAAGGTTTGAGTGCACACCAGGAGAGCTGACAAAGATGAATCGTCTGACGAGCAGACTGATATTTCCTGGTCAGGTCAGTAGCAAGCACTTTTCTGGAGGAGAATAGTGAAGCCTCACCTTGCCGAATTCAAGCCGAGTTCAGTCGAACCCCGCCACAATGAACGTCGTTTCAACGAAATTTCCACTACAGCGGTTCCTCATCAGCAGTCCATAGGAGTCGGTGCATAAATATTGTCGCCGCTACGAACACTTTTTTTCTCTGCCGTCCCGCTTCAACAAAATTTCACAGTGCAATTCCAGGCTCAAATATTTATTGCTATACAGGAAACCCATTTTTTTGCAGTTTCAGAACCCGAAAAATACGTCGACGAAGTCTAAAACACGCATTGGCATTACCAGAAACCGCCGCTGTTCAGGAAGCATGGGCGGCCGCCATTGCTCGATAGCGATGGCAATGAGACTGCCCTGCCAGGCCTTGCTTTTGCCACTGGCTTGCTTTCGAGCCGCAGACAATCCGAAGCTGAAGCTTAGTCTCTCAGTTCATAGTTTCCTTCACGCAGCTGCCGCAACTGCTGGGTGCAACCGAAGAGCGATGCCTTTTCCGATTCCAATGCTTATCATTTTATTCCTGCTTGGCCAGTGTGGTACGTATTCAGAGTGGATTTTCATTCGTATTGTCAATCATATCAGCTAGCCCCGAGTGATGGATAATAAAAATGGCATAGAATAAGGCAAAAGTCACCACTCCACAATATTCTGCCTCCATCTCGGCGTTGTCCGATACACTTTGACAGCGGACAGCTTCTGGTGTTAATGTGTTAATGCAACTGTTTCACGAAAGTGGTTGTAGGCGTTGTTTCAGCGTGGTTTTCAGCATGGCCTCGCTATGCATGACTCCGAATCGCGTCGTGACGCTGCTGGGAAAGAATAAGAAGTAGCAAACACTTCTTTAATTTTAAGAATAAATGTTCCTTTCTTCTACTAGCTCAGATCAGCTATATTTTTTACATTTCGCTACAACGAAATTCTTGCTTCAACAAAATATTTTCCGCGCTCCGTGAGTTTTGTTGTAGCAAGGTTTGACTGTAATGCAATAAGTTAAACATTGTTTGCTAAAATTATTCACATCAGAACTATGGCCTAATGGTTGACCAATTTAGGTTAACGACTGGGGACCATGGGAATAGACAAAAGAGGACCGAGGTTCATATGATCTGTTGTGCTGTGCGCGTTGCTCTAAATTATTACTGTAATAAAACAGCTTGCAGTGTGTAAAAATAAGTGAAATAGACAGATTTAGTTGCGCAGCCGCAGCAGCCGTACGGACGCGCAACTAAATCTGTCTAAAGATAGCCTGTTTGATCCGTCTTTCACCGTACTGTCTGCAAAGTTATTTGTGTACTCTTGCTGCATTTTCGATGGACGCGAAAATTCTGTTGGCCCGTGTGCTCAGATTTGGGTGTATGTTAGAGAACCCCAGGTGGTCGAAATTTCCGGAGCCCTCCATTACCACGTCTCTCGTAATCATATGGTGGTTTTGGGACCTTAAACGCCACATATCACCAAATCAAATTATTCTTGTACTGTGACAGTACTTTATCAGGCTCATGTTAATGATCCCGGCTGAATGTTATGTTATGGCATTGGGATTTACGCAGCAAGCTTTGATGGTTACGTTGCTGAAATGGCATAGATTCATATCTAAGTGGCGTTGATGAGCAAAGTTTTTCTTTTAAGAGTGCATCCTGCATGGAGACTCTGCTAGGTTATTACTTTCATTGGCATATCACACCTTATGCATTCAAATAATTAAATGATTGCATAACTATGACCAGTGCAGTAAATTATGAAGCGGTAAGGGGGAGGGGGATCGGGGCTCTTGACCTCCCTTGAGCTCAGGCTGTGAAAGGTGAGGGACACATCCCTTGCAAGCGTTCCCCCCTTGGAAATTTCTGTTTCAAACATCGTACACCTCAATGTTTTGAGAGTCAAGAGTAGTCTTTCAACTTTTTTTTTTTTTCATCTTTTTAGCGGGTACCGGTGTTCAATGCCCCTCAGCTGTGTGAGGCTACTGAAATTGCAACTGCTGCCCCATCGGTTTCAGAAAAGACTTTAAGAACAATGCAAGCTGTGTGAGGCTACTGAAATTGCAACTGCTGCTTCATCAGTTTCAAAAAAGACTTTAAGAACAATGCAAGCCAAGTTACCTTTTACTTTAATTTCAAGGCATGATTTGAATTTTTATATAATAATAAAACCTGTACTAATGGAAGCCAAATGGCTGCTCCCCCCTTCTCATTTTTCTGGATTCATGCCACTCTTTCGGACTATATTTCATTTGAAAATCTGCATTCATCAGAACTGTATATGTATGTACTCTGAAACTTCATTATAACAAACTTGCATCTTACACGAAAATAAGCGTTATATCTAAAAATTAATTATAAAGGTTTATTTTGTAATACTACATTTACTGCAACTTTTTTATTTCATTATAACCAATATTTTCTTATATCCAGTTTTGTTATAACGAGGTTTGAGTGTACACATATTTATCTGGCTTCATCTAATTGCTCAGGAAACCATTCTATATAAGTCAGTTTGTAGTGGGAGCAACTCAGTAGCTTTTTTGAGCTATGGCAAGGTAAAAGGAGGGATTTAAAGGGCTTCCTGTTCACTTGGCACTGTCAGTTATGATTGCCATAGTAACTCCTGTGATGAGAGGGACATGCACAGCAAGGCGAGTTTTAATCCTCCAATCATTCCTGCAGTCGAAAATAAAGAGAAGAGTGTTTACTTCTTGGTTATTTTTGAGTGGTTGAAAATATTTCAACTTTTCGTTACATGCATTAGATTCCCTGTTGTCGATTTATTCACTTTTTCACTTGTTCATTTTATTTCTTCGGTTAACAACACGTGATTGACTTTCATGCTGAGTGTACCTGTGGCTGCATTTTGTTCGCAGACATTGTACATTCCGATTAAAGAACAAGAATCTCAAGCTGCAGATGTGGCTGACTTGCCCGAGCATGGTAGATTGGAGGATGCCAAGGTAAGATTTCATTGTCGCTTAGTATTTGTTTGCAGTGCTTATCAGTGTCTGGACTACAGTTGCAACCCCTTTGTAAGAGATATGCACCGGTGAGAAGTTCCTGTTATTCATGTGGTGTCTCTTATAAGCAGGGCACCACATACGCATTTTCTTATCAACTCCTATTTTAATGCTGGCACACTGGTGTCTCTTATACCCATTTGTCTGTTACAGCCCATAGTGTCTCTTATAATGAGGTTCAATAGAGCCTTTTCACAATTGTGAAGTTAGAGCTTTTTTTGCTATGCAGTTTAAACAACTAATGGCAGCTTGTCATTTAGTGCAAATAGCCTGTTCAAGCTCGGTTTGTGTATGCAGTAACGTGGAAAATGTTGAGTTGCCTTCTATATAAACACTCATAAGAGACAAGCCCCAGCAAGTTCAACTAAGACTGCATCTCCGATTAAAGCACAACAGGTGCCGCCAATACTTTTTCAAACGTGCAGTGCAGAGAAGTGCACTTGTGAATTATGAAGAGTCCATTTTACCTTGGTAACATAGGTAGCTTATGCGTTTGGCCGTGCTCTTGCTTGTCCAATTGCAGGCCTCGGTGGCCCATCTTGGCACCGGGGCTGGACCACCTTTGCCTGGTGAGCGACCTGGTTCTCCAAAAGCTGCGGCGTCACCACCGGACTCTCCTGTTGCCTTCATCGAACAGCACCGACACGGTGGCACGTCCACTGAGCACATCGAATCAGCTGAACCAGAGAACAAGGCATGTTCTGTTATGTTACACATTCAGTCAAATTACGTAGCACGTTTGCTCAAAATTGAGCTCCGTACATTCTGCTACTGTGTTGTCCATAAATGGTGCTGTATACGTGAATATGGGCTGGAAATGAGTTTTGTGTACATTGACCATACAGTGGACTCGCATTAAATGAAACTCAATTAAACGGAAAGGCGGCATAAACGAAACTATCGTGGCACATTTAGTTCAGTCTCCTATATATTTAACAATAAAAAGTTTCGGGTAATCTGAACATTTTTTAGCTTACATTGGTTACATGAAACTAAAACAGGGCAAAATTCATGAACGGCGGAAGTGGCCACGGCAGTCTAGCAACCATAAAACAAATGCCGAAGCTAGCCTAGCCAAGCCAATTTAGTGATTGCACATGTCTGCGCTCGCCGAGCAGTAATCAACATCTCGTCGTAAACTTGAGAACAGTCTCGATACTCTAGGCCTGAGGAACCTTAGCTGAAGTTCAAGATGAGGACCCATGCTGAAGTGGTAATGAGACGGTGTGTGATCCCGAGCCCATTTCAGTGGCTGACAGTTCAGCAAGAGATGCTGTCATCCTGTTGCAGCGCTACTTTGAACACGATGGTGGCACAGAGTTCTTGCCCAGCCTTTCGGCAACGATCTCCTACTATGTGAGAAAGGGGTTGAACAAGGCCAAGCAAATTGTTCTCGCCTCCTTTTTTCTGAGTCAGCAATATTAGAAATATTTTTATTTCTAATCAACTAAAGTCGCATCGCGTACTTCAAAATGTTTTTGTTCTGTCAGCCACAGTTGGTGCTTTTGAAATAAATTCATATTTCATTCATTTTGTGGGCTTTGCCTAAATGAAACTTCTCATAAATGAAACAAATTTTCTTGCCCCTTTGAGTTTCGTTTAAGAGGAGTACACTGTAGATATATTGTTAGAAAAAATTTACTTGTTATATGTTATTTCAAAGCGGATCTTTCTATTTCCTTTAGCAAGTGTTCAAAGCACCCCAGTTTTTAAGTGATTTTCTCATCTCCACCCACCTCTAATTTTCAGTTTGTTCTTTACCTGGTAGTGAAGATGACCTTGAAAAATGCACTTATATGTACTCACATACATTTGATGAATCCTTTTGAATGGGGCCAACGCTGTAATGATTAAGCCATGGGTGCATGCCTAAACAGATGTGATATAACATTTCAGTTTTAGAATTACTCTAAACATTTTCTAATGCCATGTTTAACCGTCCCTCATTCTTTTTTATGACAGTGTGCTTTAGTTGTTTTTTTTTTTTTTCAAGGGAAAACCACTGTCAAGTGGGCACTTAACTATACTTATGGACGTGTCGTTCAGTTTTGGTGCACTTAGCAAAATCTGAAGTCTTATGTCTTACTCAAAATTTAAATTTAATATAAATATAAGTCTAATCTTAATCTATATCTAATCTTAGGCAAAATTTAAATCTAAAGTCTTAGTGAGGGTTCCGAAGGGCACTTTCCGGAAGTGCATTAAATTGCCGCTTGATAGGGTCTAAAATACATAGGTAATACAAATACATGATTCGTAATGGGACTGACCACCAATTTTTGTGGCCCGTTTTTATTTTTCTTTTTTTGTGTGTAACAAAGCTTATCGTACAAAGCGTCTGATCATAGTGGTAATGCATAAAACAATGTGAAAAATTTCTCAATAAAATTTTTCCATCTTTAGTGCTATTGCTGAACAGGTCGTACACCCTACGTTTGCTGGGAAGAGTGTTGCAAAAACTCCTGCTTGGTCTAAAGCATCGGCCTACAGTGTCAGTTAAAAAAAATGTTGGTGGGCACAACAGCAGTTTGTGTTCATGTGCTGCACACATCGCAGGCATGTGCCGTGGCTCGACATTCACCACTATTCGACACGAAGACAGCACTGCTCAGCTCTTTTTACTTTGTGATCAGCACAGAATAAAGCAGGGATGCCTTACCATATGCAGACCAGACTTAATCAGTGAATTGTGGTGCACTTGAACTACGGCAGGCTACCTACAGCTATCTAAGTGACTCATTCATGCTGTACCAAACCTTGTTTGTTGTAAGGGGATCTGATCTGCTCATTTATGTGACTTTCAAACACAATGTAAGAATATGAATTCAATTCAAATCACGAAAAGAATGCTCAATTTTGTCACTATTAATCAAACTTTCTACTTCTATGAGTGTCTTGTGACACGTTGTGGTAGCTAATTGGTCCTTTTAATGGAGTCAAACCATGTGTGCAGTGTTGTATGTAAGTTGTTGGTTATAAAGCACGTGAACGAAATTTGAGTTCATTATTGTCAAGAGCCACATGCGGAATAAAATTATCTTTGTTATATTCAATGTTTGTTAATGATGATATCTATCACAGACCTTACAGGTTCATTTTGTCGAGTAATCTTTGATACATATTACTGACATTCAGCATATATGGAGATTCTCATGTTCTCAAGGAACTCCGACATACTGATGCTGTGCAGGCCAGTGTTTTATTTGGAGGATCCCCAGGAAAAACTTGTGAACTTGTGATTGTGGTTCCGACTTTCTGCATTATCATTATTGCTAGAGCTGGAAACTTCGGCATCGCAATTGCTTAGTTTGTATTGATACCTTGTTTGCAATGTCGGCATTTGTCATGGACAGCTTCTGACTTCTTGTTTGTTCATGTCGCGACCTTGCAGGAGAACATGGACATGTTCCTGAAGATTTCATCTCGGCACATAACGGACGGTCAGGGGGTGGTCTCGGGAACGCTTCTGGTGACCCCCAACAATGTGATGTTCATACCCAACGTTTCTGATGCGCTCGTCATGGAGCATGGGTCGGAATGGTACGAAGTCACTGCCCCCATGGACATGGTAGTGGCCGCAGCCCTCTACAACGACATCACACACATGCGCCTTCGGTCAGTGATAGTTCATTGTACTTTTCGCTCCCCACTATCTGCGTTTTGCAGCTAAAGCAGTTACAAGATCACTACATGGGTTGTGTGCGTCATAGTTGTCTGCCGCCACCGGTGTCCCTAACCACTATCGCACAAAGTAAGAAAAGAGCTGAGTAAACAGAAACCACCAAGGACACAGTGGGATTCGAACCCGGGTCCCCTGGGTTTCAGCCCAGTTTTCTACCACAGAGTCATGCTGGTGCTTGAAACTTCATTGCAAAGTGGCCTTAGACAGACTTGATGTCAGGAAAGGAATCGCGTTAATATGAGTGATGAAGCCCTCTATAACAGCAAAGGAACAACCAGACGTCACACAATGCGAATAGCATAAGGAGTGAATCATTGAATGCTCCAACCCATCACAAAAGCTTCAGGCATAATTCCTCATCATCGTCAGCTACAGTATCAAAAAGTTGCTCAAAACTCCTTGCAAGTGGGTGGCATGCATCACGCTTCTGCAAAAAATGGCATAGTGAATGTCTCCGTACTACACAAAAATTATGATCATTAATGGCGTAGTAAGCACTCTGCATGTGTGCTTGTAGCAGTGTTCCAAAAAGGCTCTGAAAGGCGCTTTCCTCCAGGTTTCACCGTGACTGTGCTGCACGTTGCGCGCAGGCCTGGCGTTTTTTTTTTTTTTTTGTGGTCTGCATAGCAGGACGTCATGCCAAGAAATCATCCATGGTAAACAGCAAAACTATTGAGCAAGCTAGCAGGATTTCCAAGTTGAGCTATTTAAGGCACAATCCAGCGGTGTCTCACTATTCGGATTATCGACTGTTTAATTGATGCAAACTGATTTGCCACAGAACGTTGCAGGCACTTAATGCTGCAAAGATAAAAGTGATGCGACACTGTTAACGTTCCTATGGAACGTGCATAGAATACAGAATGCTGTCTGAGCCATAGACTGACAAAACGTGCAGGCAGTGTTAATGAAACAGCGAGAAAGAGCTAATTCCATGGAAATTCTAGCACTGGTGTCGGTGTCATTGGTGTTGAGCAAAAAATTAGCATTGTTCATGAGCGTGAATTTCGTATGCAAATAAAGAAATAATTTAAAAATTTGTAGTGCGAGTGCGAATTGAACCCAGGATGTCTGCATGGCAAGCAAGTATTCTACCACAGAGCCACGCTGGTGCTTGAAATTTCTTCAGAAGAAAACACCGCATGAATGTTATGTATTGTGAGGAGTGTACGTGATAAATGTAATTATTATATTGTGTTGCTGAAGCGTTAAATCACGCTAGGCATCAAAAGATGTGAATTGTGCAACGATTGGTTTGTTTAAAAGCCTGCCAATTACAAAGCACGCAGGCATATTTAATTATCATTTTCAATAACACATTCATCTGCGAAGGTGCGCAGTGTTGTCCTATGACCGCGTGGTGGGTTTCTCGCAAACTTGCAAAAAGGAAGAATTATGCCACAGTGAGTACTTCACAGCTCTGCTTGCAGCAAACATTGACACTTTACAGGCGCCCAGACATTCCTTTTCTTGCAGGAAGGTTTAGGTGTCCACTCAGAAGCAAGCCATGCTAGTGTGAAAAGGTGATGCACACAGGGTGCAATTACCTTATCGCATTATACTCCTGAAGGCAAGCCTTCTGTCCTCCCACATTTTTTGAAGCTGACGTAGGCATGATATAATGCATGGAGCTGCAAGCGTAGATCATGTATCTCAATGATATATATTGTATATGAAAGAGCAGAACTAGTATTTTCAAATTTGATCGATATCATGGCTACAATGACCCTATGCCAAATAATTTATAGCGCATGTGTTTCTAAGCATGTTGTGTGAATGCTGTTATTTGGGGGCTGCGCAGTGACACGGTGGACCCTGCTTCAGGTGTTCAGCTGGAGGAACCATACCGGCCTGCAGACTACCAGCCACCCGCCAAAGACCAGGACAGTCAGAGCTCGTTGGAGCCAGCCAAGTCTTTGCAAGAATGTGGTGCAGAAGTATCGCCAGTTCCTTCAATGCAAGATGCAAGTGAAAAGCCTTGCTCTGAGTTGTCCCACAGTGCGGTAGCCCTAGAATCTGCACCTGATCAAGTAGCCAGCACCGAGGGTAAAGTAATCATCACTTCACCGCCCAAGACCCCAGAGGAAGGCACGCCCTCTATTGGCCATGCCAACAATAAAATTCCAGAGCCAGAAGCTGAGACTGAGAACAAAGTTGCTGCATCGGTGCTGTCAGATGTGTCTATTTCAGAGTGTAAGCCTTCAAAAGATGTGCAAGATATGGCGAGCCCAAACGCTGTCATGAAGTCAAACAATTTGGAACAAATTCAAGAACAGGTCGTGAACCAAAATGTACATTTGGGAAGTGACATGCAGAAGCCAGAGTCTACTGAACAGAGTAAAGCACAATTCGAAAGCAAAGAGAAACACACATCGGAAAAGCCAGTTCATTGTGAGGCTCAAAAGGAAATCTGTACTGTACAAGCCAAAGAAAATTCTGGTTTGGAAGCGATGAGCACCTTACCTGGTGAAGCACAATCCGGTGTTGGAAGAGCTGCATCAAAACAACTCTCTGCAGACGCGCCAGCTTCAGAGGCCCATGATGAAACTGGAAAGGAGTTGGAAAAAGTCTGCAAGCAGCTAGAAGCTGCTGCTGGGGAAGGGGGCATCAGGGAGCCTAACAATGTGGTGCCTCGTGGTACTCGGCTTGAAGTCGGACTGTCTTCTGCAACTGCCCAGGTGGTGAAAGACGATTGGGCTGGCGACAAGTCTGTGACCAAGGACATTGCAGCTGTGACGAACACTCAGGATAAGCTGCCGACAGATGTAGCAACACCACAAAATAAGATTCTAGGTATGGAAGAGAGTGCGGCAGCCCGAAAGAAAGAGAGGCAGACTGCTGAGCAGTACTTGTTCAAGCCCATCGACAAGGCGTCAGAGTCTCCGCCAACACTGCGTAGGGAGCCAGAAAACGGAGGTCGCCGGGAAAAAGCATTCACACCACCACCACCGTCAAGCGCGAAGAGCTTACCTGAGCCAGGACGCTGGGCTCGCATGCTGAGTCCAACGCTGAAGCTAGACTCGGCAAGTGACGTGCCAGCACCAGAGCCACGCAGCTGCTGCCTCGACTGAGAGCATCACTCTACGCATGAGGGAGTGGGCTTCTGCGGAAGGCGGCATTTCTTCTGATAGGTCCCAGGAGTCTGCACACGAGCGGGTACTCAAGCGACTCTCGAACCCAATGGAGTCAATCTCATCATACACACACTCCATCTCCAAGATGATTGTATCATCGCCCAAATCGCTGGCCGACTTTGTGCGCGGTGCTGATGATCCAGTTCCCTCAACACCTCCACCGCAGTTGCCAATGCAGCAGCCAACAGCGGATGAAAAGAGGCCTTCTTCGCGAGCTGAGAATGCCAATGTCTGGCTCAAGAACATGGTTGAGGAAAAGCCCGAGCTGTTTGCAGCGTTTGAGAGTGAGTGTCACTCTTTCGTTCATTTCACTTTATTGTATGCATATGTATGAGATAAGCATACATCCATTCAATCGTGGAGTAGCTGTACTTGTCAAGGGCTAAAAACAGCATCAGCCTTGCTGACTTGTCTATCTGATTGTTTTCCAGCAACTAAGTCGGAGATAATAAACTTTTAATCAGTGTGTCCTTATATGCATAGCAGTTTTATCACTATAATATTCAGTAAGGATACAAAGACTAATTATAACATTTATAGGGACTAGTTGGTGCATTTTAAATAGCAGAATTGAACTGGATGAAATTGGGATATAGACAACATGGAAGCAAGAAAAAAAAAAAAGATTGCACCATTTTTGTGTCATTTTTCATGTGTTCCTTTTCCTAGTCTTGTGCAGTTAACAATCGTTTACTAAATTCAAAGGCCCTTAAAGTAACCTTCATGAATGACTGAGCTTGTCTTTATTAGAATCCAATAATACTGTAAATTTTCTTCCCTCTTTCAGAAGGCTTGAAATTTTGTTGCTTGAAGGTTTTAACATGGTCATTTTTAGACTGACCATTTTTCTACCCTCAGATTACCAATATTGCCAATGATGAGAGGTGACTAATTTTCTATTAATATGGCAAAGAATGAGGTCAAAAATCAGACATTGTTATTAGGAGTTTTCAATAATGAAAGAAATGAAACATTGTCAAAATTGCCATTTCAAAACCTCTCTGGGTGTACCTTCCCTCAAGAGACTTTCTTGTGATAGCTTCCAAGTAGAAGTCAAGTTTATAATGCCCTATCGCATTATCCTTACCTTCCTTGTTTTGCAAAGAGCCTTTCATGCAGAATTGTCACAATACATGCACAATCTTTATAATATGAAGTGGTACAGATATGTTCATGATGCTTGAAGGGTATTATTTGATTGGAACTGTTCTGGTTGTATGGTGCTTCAGGTTAGGCTAATCACCCATAGTCACCAGCCAAATGTTTTACAATCAGTAGCTCACTATTTCATTGTTAATAGTCACCAGCCAAATGTTTTACAATCAGTAGCTCACTATTTTATTGTTATTCTAACTTCAAAAGGACTGGCTTCAGGAAATTGTAGCTGTAGTTTATGAGCAGTGGCTTTAATATGGCATGAATCTAGGTAGCACTGATCATAAAGGCTACATGAGAACCACTTTCATTGTCCTTGAGACTTGGAGGAACCTATTGAAATGGCTTCACCCTAAATATTGAAGGATGCAAATCACTGCTGAAGTTGCAAACCACCCTTTGTGTGTTTTGCCACTTATCTAAAAGCGAGGACTATGAGGAGACACCCTGTGAAAGATCAGCTGTCAGCATTGCAGGCCGAAAAGACTGCTGCAGCTCACTGAAGGAACCGTTCAAAGAAAACAAAAAAAAAGTTGTACGTGTGTAGTAGCATTGAAATGTTTGAGGGTAGTCTACAGATAGTCCAGGTTGAAACCATGAATGAGCTGTGAATATGCATATCATTCTCCTCAGATATGGCTGTTATTAGGTTCTTTCTGTCCCCTATTTTCTTTCTGACACTTTTAAACTAAGATGTCAGGATATCCTTTAAATTACAAGAGTGGAAGCTTGGGTAGTTGGTGTGTAGTCATGCTAGTTAGTGGAAGTCAGTCATAATAAAGTTAATTGGAAGGCAGCACTCTTTTTGTCTGCTCTGTCCTTATTTACTATGTTCACACACTGAACATAGTAAAAATGCCAGTATGACTTTAGTTTGCATTTGTGTTACTGTTGTGTACATATTGTGTTATGGCAAGCAGAACTAATTTAAAAGCTATGCCCATGCAGCATATTTCTTGTGTGTAACCCTGAACAAGTAATCAGCTCATCAACACTGTGACAGCACAACCTAATGATTAACTTCTAAGTTATGTCTAGTTTAATCACGCACACTTTGTAATTTCAATTCTACATGCTACTGCAGCTGTGTCAGACTGTATTGTCACTGGGAAAGCATTTTGAGAAGTGCTGTGCGCAAAGTGTTCACAACACATGTTTCACACTTAACAACACTTTACTTGTTTTTGCTCTCTACCCCGGACTGCACAGAACTGGGATTCTTTTTTGACGACAACGGTTAGTACTGAAACTGAGCTTCAGCGAGGCTTGTCCCTGAAAACCCTACACCATATTATGCATTTCCCTTGGAAGTACCTTGCTTAGGATATTGCTTTTGGTGTTGGGTATCTTTATTTTGCAACGTATTTTTCATTAAATCCAAGTTGCTGGTTGATGGCTTTGCCATGAGGTTCTAGGATGCATTGGTTGTGGGATGCAACAGCTTAGTTTCTGTACCCCTGCTGCAGCCTTTTATGCAACAGTTTATGCTTTGCTTTGGTGTTCTGTTTCAGTTTTCTTTTCTTTTTTTTAGATATGCGAGCTCCTTTTTCCATACTTTTTTTTTGCAATGTTGCAATGCTCATGTGCTACCAGTAGGCTTTGATTTTTATGTTATGCATGGTTTCTGTGTTGGCTGTCATGCTTGAAGAAAGCATGCTGTGATATTCATTGTCTTAAATCTCTAGCAAACAAGATGTACTTGTACGCGTATGATGTACATGTATAATTGGCTTCCTTTACTTTCGTGCCCATTGTACTAACTCGTTACATTTGCTATCAGAAAGCTGTCTTCTATTTAACCGAAGCTGAAATCTTCTGAATGGTTTTTTTCAGGAGCGAGTTAGCACTTTTCTCACTGGTGAAACGGGGGTTCTTTCATTAAGAATTATTATTCAGGGAAGGGTAAAACATGTCATACCCATGGAAGGCACATGTCCTTGAATATAAATTCGCCATTCATACATACTGTTGCTAATGTGCCTTAGCAACCTTCTCGTATTTTTAGCTTTCTTTTTATATGCTCAACGTGGAAAGAATTCTCACTTTTGAAATACTTTCTTTCATGGTAGCAGGCCTGTTGCATTGCAATAACAATCATATGGACACTCTAAGTCGGTTTTTGCCATTGCCGTCACATTCTGTAAGTCCGCGTTAACATCCTCGTGTGCATCGTATGTTGTACCCGCGAGCGAAGGCGCATAAGCTTAGGGCGATGAACGTGGCGAAAGCAGAGATCAAACGAGTTGGCCCTTCTCCATCGCTCGGAGGGCATATGCCATGACATCACCCCGTGTACAATTCCTGCCCTTGGAATGCTAGCTCAAGCAGAGAGGAAATTCCCCGCCCGCCTTAAAGGAGCATGAAAGGATGTAGCGGGGATGCGGGGGGGGGGGGGGGGGAAGAGTCATTCATATAGCAACTGTGAGCTTTGATGGGCGGGGCACAATCGATATTGTGTGCTATTTCCGCAGCAATTAGCGGACGGCACGTGTACCCTTCCACCCGCTGCGCGGTCAAGGTAAAGAGAATGTGAAATCTGCATTTCTCCCTGGAGTAGCCATATTCTCTTGCACCAGCACTTTGTAGAGTTACGGAAGACTGTATCTAAAAGAGATAGCTGCCAGCCCTACATTGTACAACTTTACAACTTCTTGATGTCGCATTCATTGCTCCATCCTTGTGATGAAATCGAGTTTTTTAGTAGGTTGCCACAGTGTTCATAACTCGGTCAAAAATTTTGGTACTTTTTTGGTGAAGTTTGTAATGTAGTAAAATAAAAATGCACTCATTGCGGGCCTCTAAGTCGGGCTTTACTTTGGGACTCTACAAACATTTTACAGAAAATATAAGCACAGCATATGCCATGACTAAGTAACATAACATACATTCACACTAAGTGCAAGTGTACTTTTGTATGTGCTAAAACAAAACAACAAACTGTGCCAACTATCCAATAGTATTGCAATATTGGTTTAATGGCTTAAAATAAAATACAGGTGACTCTCAGTAAACAAAAATTTGTTAAACAGAACTACTGCTTAAATGGAACGATTGCATTTGCTACTGTTTGGTTGCGGCCTTATATTCTGCCCCTACGTTTATCTATCTACTGGTAAACGGAACTCCTGTTAAACGAAACATATTTTCCTGGTCCCTACAGGTTCCATTTACTAACAGTCTACTGTAATAGGTAGCTTTTATTACATACAGGAGGTATGCATCCCTTTTTTTTTTGTTTACTGAAGAGGAAAAAGTTGACAAGTGCTCCTTTCTATCTTCTCTTCGTGTTGCGGACCATTGTAGAGCTGGTTCCTCGGCCAGCACAGTCATCAGAAGCCACACTGCTATACTTGTGCCTACGGATGGGAAGGACCCTTGCACAAGAAAGTCCAGTGCTCTGCCACCGCCTCCTCCAAGCGGCGCATACGCCCCCAGTACTGGTTTGGCATCCCACGAAACAGGTTGGTGACGCTTCCCTTTTTCTTAGTTGTTGGAAAACTTGCCTTAGGCAGGCTTTATGTCGGGAAAGCGATCACGTTAATACGATTTATGAAGTGCTTTAAATTTTAAACAGCGAAAGAACAACCAGTCATCGCACAATGCGAATAGCGTAACAAGTGGGCCGTCCAATGATGCAACCCATTACAAAAGCTTGTTCTTGTTCCCCTATTAACTGTGGTGCATACCCACTTCAGCCATAATTCCTCATCGTCATTAGCCACTGCATGAACAATTGGCACAAAATTCCTTCCAATTGTTTAGCGGAAAACCATGCTTCTCAGAAGAATGACAGAAAATAGAATAGCGAATGCCGGCCTACTACCAAAGAGTTTATTATTAATGCCCTAGTGGGTATCAAGCAAGTGTGCTTGCAGTAGTTACCCAATGAGGGTTTTGAAAAGGCCCCGAAAGGCCGCTCTTCTAGCTTTCGCTGTGACTGTGCTGCGCCTTCCGTGCAGGCCTGGCGTCACAAAACCACCATATGATGTTTACAGTGTGTATTTTGAACAAAGGGCACATGCATAAATTTTTGAAGGGGGGGGGGGGGGGCACCATTTTGATCTCAAGTAAAACTGGGCAGGCAGATGTGGTCGAAGGTTAAGAGAAGAAGAAGAAGGTGTTTAATGAAAAGGAGAACATAGCGGCCTGGAAATCTGTTTTCTAGCCTGCTGCTCCTCATGGGGTAAGGGACAGAAAGAGGAGGGTATGATGAGGGGTGATTGTGTTATAGCACAATGAGTCATTGCACACATTGTCTCATTTCGGTGTAGGACACGCACAAAAGTCTCTACATTAGTAGATGCTCTAAAGACGGGAATCTAAACCTGTCTTGCTTAGAAATGCGAGCAGGCCCCTTAAGCTGCGTTGGGAGTGATCCACACGTTTCCAAGCACTCGAGAAGTTTCTCTTCCGAAAAATTTCGGCAGTCTAGGTCATCTGTGAGGCGCTTAAGATATTGTCTTTCAACTGTGTATAAAGGGTACACACACTGGATGTGATTAATAGTCTCTGGCGTGTTACACAAGTTGCAGTTAGGATTTTGCTCTTGTCCAATCTTGCATAAGTATCGTCGCACGTATGCAACACCCAGCCGCAGTCTATGTAGTAGCATTTCCTGGTCTCTCTTTAGTCTGATAGAAGGCGAAAAGCACGACAAGAGTCAAGCCTACAGATATACTTGTGGCGATAATCCGGATCATTCAATAGTTGTCGCATAGATGCCTTCTTACCTTTAGACAGCAAGGCGTTGATGTCACATCGGGAAAAGTGAATTGGTATCACTTCGCCGCTAGTGTGCGCGATTTTCACTTCTGCATCAGCTTGTTCATTCCCAGCTATGCCACAATGACTGGGAATCCATTGCAACGCAGTGGTATGTCCGGATTGAAATGCCTCAATCAACGTATTCATTATGTCACACACCAGAGGACTGTATGCAGTGTCTTGTTTCATGTAGTTTCTAATTAGCTGAAGAGCCGAGTTGAAGTCGCAAAATAATGTCCATTTCGCTGGACTCAGCTGTAAAATGTAGCACGCAGCTTGTTGGACGCCAGTCAGCTCAGCGGCAGTAGATGATGTCCGGTGTGCTATTTTGAAGCGTTGGGTTATTCCCATTTGAGGCACAGTGAAAGGTGCTTCTGTTGAGGTCTGGGTGACAGAGCCATCTGCAAAAATGTGCACTGTATATGAGTACATAATAGGCAATATACGACAAAACGAAATACTTAAGACCAGCAGTTAGTATTTTTTACTTCTTTGTTATCCCTGGGATCAGAAGTCGCATGATATTGTTATGCATGCCTGGGAGTGTGGTGCGATTGTCGACTGCTGCACAGGGACAATAGTCTTGAGTGATCACGTTCCGCCAGCACTCTTGGAAAACTCTGTGGATGGTGAGACGGCATTGTGTGTCTGTGGTGACACTATCATACCACCGTCATCAACCGTTCGTGTACCTGTTGGTTGCAGCGACAGCTATTCCGCCAATTTTGATGCCAACGTAGAACCAGTGTGCACCAACTGCATGAAAAAGAATGTGTTGATCCCACATTGTGTGGTGTCGATCAGACGTGGACACGCTGGTTTATGGACTGTCAATTGCTCTACAGAACCCGTGATGTTACCAGATGGTCTAAAGTTAGCCGTCGTCAGTGGACAACACGAGGCCTTACTGGTGACCGAGCTTAGAGATGCGCCGGAGGAGCATCGTAGTCACAGTTTTGAAACGGCTCTTCTGTCAGTGGTGAATAAGTCGCTGAGCACAAGTGAACGCCGAACATTGGTCAATGTACTTTCGAAGCACGTCTCTGCATTCGACTTTGCGCAGAAAGGCAAAGCGCCCCTGATCCTTGCTTCTCGGACATGTCACACCATCAACACGGGTTTGGCCAATCCGATTGGACAAAAGCCATACCGTGTTTCGCCATCCGAGCGGCGGATTATTAATGAGCAGGTGAACGAAATGATTGAAAACGGTATCATTCAAGAGTCGGTAAGTCCATGGGCAGCTCCAGTAATTCTCGTTAAAAAGAAAGACGGATCCTGGAGATTTTGCGTCGATTATCGCCGATTGAATGCTGTAACAAAAAAAGACGTGTATCCACTTCCACGTATTGATGATGCCATAGACTGTCTGCATTCGGCCTCTTACTTTTCCTCTGTAGACTTAAGATCGGGCTACTGGCAAATTCCCATGCATCCTGAAGATAAAGAAAAGACAGCCTTTGTAACTCCTGACGGCCGTTTTGAATTCAATGTGATGCCATTTGGACTGTGCAACGCGCCGGCGGTGTTCGAGCGATTTATGGACACTGTTCTTCGTGGCTTGAAGTGGAGCATTTGCATGTGCTGTCTCGACGACGTCGTCGTCTTTGGCCGCACCTTCAGCGAACACAATTCACGTCTGAATACTGTACTGACTTGCATAAGAAACGCTGGCCTTGTTCTTAACTCAAATAAATGCCACTTCGGAGACCGACAAACCCTTGTTCTCGGACACCTAGTCGATCAGGAGGGCATCCGTCCAGATCCCCAGAAGACAGCAGAACAGAACAGAACAGAAGGTTTTATTGTGCTAAATGAAGAAGAATACATGTGCATGATATACAGAAAGAGGTCCCATAGTCAGAGACTGCAAGGGGACCTCTTGTACAATGTAGAATTGAGAACGATTGTGATGTACATAGCAGGGAGACAGAGCTACAGTAAAATGCAATTGAAACAAATAAAGTAAGAATATACCCTTGTAATCTCACAGAAACAATTTAAAAGTAAGAATAACGTGCTAACTTCAATGACAAATGATTACAGAACGCAACTCACAATGAACAGGAATCAATTAAGAAACAGCAAAACAGGCTAGTTAGTTGACATGATATGATTTTTTTAACTTCGATTTAATTACCTTCAGGGAACGGCATACTTTAATGTCGGAAGGCAAACTATTCCAAAAAGAAATTCCGGAAAAATGAATGGTTTGTTTGCCATAATTGGTGCGAACTTTTGGCAGTAGAAAGTTATTGTTAAGGGCAAACCTTGTGACATTGTTATTTGAGAGAATGGTAGTGAAATGTGGAAGTTGGTTATTTATAGTTCTATACATGTAAATACCAAGGTTATATTTAACTAGCTCAGATACAGTTAATATATTGTTTTCGTGAAGTAGTGACTTAGCGTTAGAGAGATATGGGCTTGATGTGAGAATTCTTATCGCTTGGTTTTGAATTGTCTGAACTGAAGTAAGATGAGTGGTGTATGTGTTGCCCCATGAAGTAATACAGTAAGAAATGTGCGAATGAACAAAAAAAAAAATACAGTGACATAAGTATTGATGGATTGAAATAAAGACGAGATTTAATCAGTAGTCGAATGCCATACGTCATTTTTTTCCTAATATGTGCAACATGTCGGTGGTATTTCAAGTTACTGTCGAGTTCAACGCCTAGGAATCTACAGCAGTCGCTCACAGGGATGTCATTGCGCGCAATTATAACAGGAGGGATAGAAGGCAAGGGTTTTTGTGGTGAAGAGAAGACAGCAGCCGTTGAATCGTTCAATGTGCCGCACTCTGTGAAGGAGCTCGGCAGTTTTTTGGGGCTTTGCTCCTATTTTCGCCGCTTTATACCTAAATTTGCCGATGTCGCGTATCCGCTGACATGTTTGCTACGGAAGAATACTCCCTTCGGGTGGACTCCGGAGTGCGACTCCTCTTTTCGTCAACTGAAGTTCCTCCTGACGTCGCGGCCTGTTCTTCAACACTTCAACCCATCAGCTCCAACCGAACTGCACACAGATGCCAGCGGCATAGGAATTGGTGCCGTCCTAGTTCAACGCTATGGTTAACTGCGAGCACGTGATTGCATACGCAAGTCGCTCCTTGAGTAGGCCCGAGCAGAATTACACTGTTACAGAACAAGAATGCCTCGCGGTAGTATTTGCGATTCAGCGGTTTCGGTCTTACCTATATGGACGCCCTTTTACAGTCGTCACCGACCACCACTCATTGTGTTGGCTCGTCAACCTTCGGGATCCTTGCGGCTGTCTAGCGCGCTGGGCACTTCGGCTCCAAGAGTATAACTTCATAGTCTCGTACAAAAGGGGTCGACGACACGCCGACGCAGATTGCCTTTCGGGCATGCCACTGAGCACTACAAAGTGTGACGCCGATGACCTCGATCACCTCGTAGCTTCTGTGTCACCAAAGTTTCCCGACCTCAGTACTTTCAGAGATGAACAGCGAAAGGACACCAGGCTATTATCGCTTTGCACAGCTCCTACGGCATGCCATTTCTGTGTACGCAACGGACTCCTATATAAGAAGAACTTTTCCAGCACTGGCACACGTTTCCTCCTGGTAGTGCCAGAAAGCCTTCGGACAGCGCTTTTAGGTGCTATGCATGACGATCCTACGTCCGGACATTTAGGTTCTGCACGGACGCTTTACCGTGCTAAAGAACGCTTT